AAGTAACCAAAAATAGAGGACGAAGAGATATGTAATTTCTTTATTCGAGCTATTCTAAGTTCTGCTATTACGTTTATTTTATTAGTTTTTTTTCAGCCGTAATTCGTTTTTTTTTCCCCTTTTTGAAATGTACTTATCATGATTAAGCTGAAATTAGATATGAACTAATTAGGGGTTTTGGCATGGTATAACAACGGGAGAAATTCAAAAATAGTCACAATTTCAAAGGTAATCGAAATTTAGCCACTTTTCATATAAAGGTAAATCTGAACGAAACACTGTTCAAAATCCGGAAAAATACTCCAGCATAATATACTAGAGTTCCAATATATTATACTGGAACTCCAGTCTAATATACTGGAGTTCCAATATAATATACCGGTCCAGCATAATATACTGGAGTTTGGAGCCACTATTTTGCTGCAACAGAGACCGGTCCAGTATAATATACTGGAGCCAGCAAAGTATACCGGTCCAGCATAATATGCTGGAAGTTCATACACAGGTGCACCGAACTCGAGTATATTATGATGGACCGGTCTCTGCTGCAGCAAAATAGTGGCTATTTTTCATTGACTTGGTAAAAGCTGGCTATTTTTGAATGACCAGTCCGAAAACTGGCTAGACCGTGCTATTTTTACCTTTACAAATGTAAAAATTAAACCCATTAGTTATCCATTGGTTATCCATTATCCATATTTGACCCATTTTTAAAAGTTCATTATCAACCCTTTTTTAGTGGATAATATGGTTGATTAACCGTTTTCTTTTAACCATTTTGCCACCACTAGGCATAGATTTAGCTATTTTTCCTGAAGAAGAATGAAGCTTCTATATAATCGAGCAAAATTAGCATATGTTAATGAAAAATATAGCAAGAGGACTCACCTAATGCTAAAAGTCATTTCACACAGAAGCACTAACTTGTGGCTAAGAAACTTGGCCTTGAAGTTATCTAATTTTAATCTCAAACTCCTTGTAAACGTAGTCCAAGCTCGAAAGATTTCATTCTTTCTTAGGATACCATAACAAGAAAACTTTGGAACTATTATACTATCATTAAGAAACAGCAATTCTTCGCAGCTTATTTGAAACTTTCTCCTTAAGGGAGACCATTGGTTGTTTAGCAATTCAGACCAAAGGCAGCTGCTGGATCTGCTACATTCAAAAAAGGAATGAACTACTGATTGATCAAGAAACAGATGGAAATGGTACAACATCCTTTGTTTTTCTTAGCCCCAACATGGTTAGTGTAATAGATATTTGCAAATGACTTAAGGCGTGTTGAATTTAGTCAAATCAATTATCTGTTCCCTTAATTCCAAATATTTAACCGTGCGAGGGGGAAAAACTGTATATTTTGAATTTCTTTTCAGTAAGGAAATATCAGGTTCAGTCTTTCTTTAATTCTTTTAAACAGCAGTCTCTTATTAATTTCTCTGTTGACTTTGTTGTTATTCTATTTCTTGTTTCTATATACTTAATATAGTAGTTAAAGTTCATCTGTTAACTGTTCCAGTTTTCTACAGAAGAACGAGGCAGGAAAAGAGAAATGGCGCGGATCAGTTGGAGGATTAGTAGAAGCTCCAATCGACCAAGTGTGGAACTTAGTATCACAAAGTAGTAGACTGTCCGAATGGATGCCAATGGTGGAAAGATGCACTGATTTAGCTGGAGAAGAAGGAATTCCAGGCTACGTTCGGCTAGTTTCTGGTTTCATGTTTCCTCAAAAGGATGGAGACAGGTCCTGGATTAAGGAAAAACTAATTTCTATGGACATTTCATCACATAGTTATGTTTACAAAATGGAAGCAAGCAATGTAGGTCTTGATGGATCAACAAATTCGCTAAAACTCTTTGATTATGAAGATAATACAACTCTTGTCAACTGGACATTTGAAATAAATCCACTGGAAGGTGCATCAGAGGACACAATTATAGATTACTTGGGATTTCTTTATAAATCTTGTATTACTAGAATTAAGTTTGCTATTGATGCCTCCTTTCAGAAGTGACTGTACTGGAGAATAAATTGAACATATTTTTGCTGCGTGCTTTAACAGATGCCAAAATAAATGAAATTTATCGTGTAATAAATTAAATTACGGTTCAGAATTTAATAATCATTAAAATTTTAGTGTTTTTTCACATCTATATTTATCGTGTAGAAAAGACGAAGATGGCTTCCAATTTTATTCTGTATCATTAAAGATAATGAGGAGAACAAAAGTTGATTTTTTTTTTTTGGGGGGGGGGGGGGGGAGGCAGGGGGTGAGTTGTTACTGTATTACACATCTAATTTTCCAGCAAATCCTCATTTAGAGCATTTAAACCGCAAATGTAGAAGGATTTTCCTAATCAATGAAAACTATTTCTCAACTAATAGACTGCTTCATCATTAACAATCTTCTAGATGAATTAGTATTTACATACCATTGTGTAGTTTCATTTCACCATCTTCTATGCAGTATAACTACTTCATATTATGCATTATGGCCCTCGCCAGAGACAAATTTAAAATTTAAATTTGATCGGTTCAACTTTTAAGGTTCTTAAACTGAATTTGTACTTCTGAAATTATGGGTTTTAGGGTTTAATATATGTTGAAAATTTAGTAGTTTTTCACGTTATGGTGTCAAAAAATACTAGCTTCAGTTGAGGCTATTGTACTACGTAATATATAAAGAATACAAGGGTTCTGATCTTGTCTAGTGTTTAAGATGAAATACAAACTAGAGTTGCTTTCCTTAATTAATCGTTCTCCAAGTAACTATCCACATTCAAAACATAGTTTGAAGATTGCTTCTGTTTAAATGCAAAATGACTGAAACAGTTGAGCAATCAACCACGAATTTGACCCAAATATATGTGCTGGAATACGTACTACTCTGTGATGGTATGATTTCAAAGAAGAATTAGTGATCCCGTATATGCCAAAGGAGCCTGGATTCATAGATCAAAAGACTACTTTATGTAATATGCAAGAAAACTTTGAGGCTAAATGTGCATACCTGGACTTGTTCACTCACCTAACCGGGTAAAACGACGTAGCATCAATATACTCTATTCCTTTATAATGTCATCTTGGTCAATTTTCTGTGTAAAAGGAGTGACACTTAGAGAAAAACAGACGAAAACATGGCGTCTTTGATTCGAGCTGTTGTTCTGGTGACTCTTGCAACTTCATTTTGTCCTGCATTTGTGGAGTCGATTGTTCGTCATTACAAGTTCACTGTAAGTGCACTACATAAATTATACTATATCTTATTAATTACCTTACTCTGTTAAAATGATCAGCAACTAGGAACTTCAAACTTAAAATTTGAGCATGAAGATAAATTTTCAGCATTATGATCTACTTTATGTAGGTGGTGAAGAAAAATGCAACAAGATTGTGTGCAACTAAGCCCATTATCACTGTAAATGGAAAATTTCCAGGGCCAACTCTCTATACTAGAGAAGATGATACAGTGCTTGTAAGGGTTGTCAACCATGTCCAAGACAATGTTACCATCCATTGGTATGATATATCAAAACTATTTTAGCCATCTTAAATGGGAAAAAACAACAACTGACTTTATCGCGGATCATATAAATATGACATAAACAAACAAGAAGGTAGTAATGTGATGCTAAATTCATAATGGGGAAATTTCAGGCATGGAGTGAGACAACTTCGGACAGGATGGTCCGACGGGCCAGCATATATTACTCAGTGCCCAATACAGACAGGGCAAAGCTATCTCTACAACTTCACCCTCACTGGGCAAAGAGGTACCCTTCTTTGGCATGCACATATCAACTGGCAAAGGGCAACGGTACATGGTGCCATCGTCATCTTGCCCAAACGACGCATTCCTTATCCATTCCCCAAGCCACAAAAGGAAGAAATTATAATATTAGGTACATTTTACTCCAGTTTGCTAAATGATTAATATGGTCTCTGCTTGTAGCTGATATATGCAGAAAAGCAGAAGATCCATGCTATATATTTAAAAACATCAGGACAATTTAATAATGGAAGTCTTGAATTGCAGGAGAATGGTGGAATTCAGATGTTGAGGCAGTAATCAATCAAGCCATGAAAATGGGAGTGGCTCCCAATGTATCAGATGTACACACCATCAATGGTCATCCTGGACCTGCACCAAATTGTTCTTCAAAGGGTACTTTACCTAGTCTTGTTTATGTTAATCAAATAAATTTAGAGATATTCCTCTTTTTAATAATGTACCAAAGATAAAAAGATTATTTGCACTTAATGGCCTGATGAAGGATCAAAAATGATATCTGCTGACCAGGGTTATGGGTAATATGCAGGTTACACCCTACATGTGGAGAGTGGCAAGACCTACTTGCTCCGTATTATTAATGCAGCATTGAACGAAGAGCTCTTTTTCAAGATTGCAGGGCACAATTTGACTGTTGTTGAGGTCGATGCATCGTACGTTAAACCCTTCAAGGCCGACACCATTTTCATCGCTCCAGGACAGACGACAAATGCCATTCTCACTGCTGATCAGAGTGCTGGCAAGTATTTAATAGCCGTATCTCCTTTTATGGACACCATAGTAGCCACTGATAATCTAACTGCAACCGGAACGGTCCACTATCAAGGAACTGATGCACTTTCCCCTACTGCTCTCACTACCATTCCATCTCGAAATGCTACCCCAGTAACCAACATTTTTGTAGACTCCCTGAGGAGCCTGAACTCGAAAAAATACCCTGCTAATGTCCCATTGACAATTGATCATTCGTTGCTTCTAACTATGGGTATCGGTGTTAATCCTTGTTCTACATGCCAAAATGGAAGCAGAGTTGTGGCAGCTATCAATAATGTTACCTTTGTCATGCCTACTACTGCTATCCTCCAAGCACATTACTATAACATAAGTGGTGTCTACACCGCGGATTTCCCTGGAAATCCAGCAATACCTTTCAACTATACTGGCACTCCACCAACAAATTTGCAGACTCAAAATGGTACAAAAGTTTACAAAGTTGAATTTAATTCAACTGTCCAGGTAGTGCTCCAAGGAACTTCTATCATAGCACCAGAGAGCCATCCAACACATCTACACGGATTTAATTTCTTTGTTGTTGGGAAAGGAGTTGGAAATTATGATCCTAAAAGTGATCCAAAGAAGTTCAACTTAGTGGATCCTGTTGAGAGGAATACTATGAGTGTACCAACTGCCGGATGGACTGCCATTAGATTCCGAGCAGATAATCCTGGTAAATTTTCTTTTTACTTTCATTTTTATGGTTAATTATTTGTCCTTTTAGAGTGGCTTTCATTTGTTTGTAATCTGTATTTTTGATATGTAGGTGTTTGGTTTTTGCACTGTCATTTGGAGGTTCATACAACATGGGGACTTAAGATGGGATTCCTGGTGGAAAATGGAAAAGGCCCTAATCAATCAATCCTACCTCCTCCAAGTGATCTTCCAAAATGCTAAACAAAATTTCACCAAATTGACATACGAATTGGAAATGAAAGATTCACAGAAGTCAGTTGTGAAGTTCAACTAATAAAATGTTTAGGACCACAAGTTTAATGGTTTTGAATACGCATCGAAGGTGTACGAGGAGAAGTCTCTGAGTCTTTTGGCGAAACACAACTTCAATCTGATTATTTTTTGTGATTGACTACCATCTATAATGTAATGTATCTTGCAAGCCTTGTTTGATGCTAGATGCTCTACGGAATCACACATAAAATCTAGCTGCTGTTTGTACCAAAATAAGCCACTTAAATCTGTCTAATCAAAAAAAATCCGTAGTGATTCCTCTCTATTCTACTAGGAGCTTAGTGAATACAATATATCTGCAAGTTGTTACGGGCCCGAACTGTAGAATTAGCAACATACTTGCATCAGGGTAGGTTCTGCGGCCTACTCCAAATGATTACAGAATGTTTCGTGCATCCAAATGCCTTTTAAATGCTCCTTTAAATGGTTAGGTCTGGCTGGCCCATAGATTTAAAAGGATTTCGTAATAGACCTGAGCAGATCATATCTATGTTTCAATCGGTTCAATTTATAAGCAAATTAGTCTCGAAATATCGATCATTCATATCTATGCATCTGTACTCTACATAAAAATGTGAAACGTTTCGTTCTAATTGATTACTCGATAAAGAGGAGAAAAATTCGAAAAAAAATTGGACTCCAAACTTTTTTCCCAATAAACAGGCGATTATAGGGCAATAGTTCTGCACAGAAAAGAAAAGGCCAAGTTAGGAAAGCTGTAACAAAAAATCTAACGCGCCAGGTAGGGGTCGAACCTACGACCTTCTGCTTAGGAAACAGACGCTCTATCCACTGAGCTACAGGCGCTTCTTTGTTACCATTCTCAGCTCCGAACTTAATTATAAAATTTTATTCACTTCACTGGCCATATAACTTTTCAATGAAGTGACATTACAAAGTCAACGAACTCATCTTAAATTCAACATAATTTTAAGCAATTAACTTAAGGAAAGAATCTATACTATACTAAAAGTACGAAGGCCTTAGCAAAATGGCATTCGCCTTGTTTATATTGGATAAATTAGTCATTTAATTATTTTCCTAATATTTAGATCTTTAAAGTCAACTAAAATATTGCATATTTAATTATTTCCTTATTTGAACTAATGTAGAAAATCTTAATATTTAGAATTTTGAAATCAATTAATATTTTAATTTATAGAGCCATAAGAAACAACATAAAGTGTGAAATTTTTGGTAACATATTTTTTTAAGGTATGGATCCAAACGACAAAGTATGCTTACACGTGAGTAAAAGTCTTGAAGTAATTAAACTCAAATTATATTATCAAATAGTGCACATACAACGACAATAACAACAACAACAATAATAACCCAGTATAATCCCATAAGTGAGACAAATAGTACACATAAATTATATAAAAATAATAGTTGAAAAATGAAGGAGAGAATTAAAAATATCACAGAAAAAGAAAGTATGGGGTTCTTGGAGATGTGATGTGACGACCCGGCTAGCTTTG